AAATAATAAAATATAAAAAAAAATTAAAAAACAAAAAGAAATAAAAATAAATAAATAATAAAAAAAAAGATATTAAAAAAAAGAAAAAAAAAAAAAAACTTATGAAATTATAAAAAGAAAAAAAAATAAAATAAAAAAATAAATTAAAACTATATAGAAAAGGAGGCAAGAATACAAATATAAATGAAAAAAATAATATAAAGATTTTTAAAATATAAATGAATTATCAAATACTTATACAAATATATTATTTATTAATACTAATAAAGTCTTAATATATAAGTTTTTAATTTTTTTTTATAGTTTAAGTCAGAAAATAAATTAAATAATTCAAAACTAATATTTGATAATTATTAATATAATTTGATATATAAAATAAAATATAGTTACAATATATATATGAATATAATTATATAGACAAATTTTAAAATAAAAAAATATTAAATAAGACTTAACTAATATTTGAAAAAAAATATAAATGAAATTTTAAATTTTATTTATTTATTATAGTAAGAAATATGATTAATTATATATTTTCAAATAAAATTATAAAAAAGATAAAAAAATTTTTTATTAAAAAGATATAATATCATATTAATTATTAGTTGATTTTTAAGTTTATTGTATTTAAATTTATAAAGTTATAAAATTTTATATTTTATTTTTGATATTGTAAAAAAAAAGCCTTAAAATTCAAAATTTCAAAATTTCAAAATTTCAAAATTTTTTAAATTTATTGAACTAAAATTTGTAGAATTATAAAATTTTAAATAAAGTTTTTACTTGTAATTAATTTTAAATACTTAAAAAATTAAATTTTAAACAAATTTGAAAAAACATTTTTATATAAAATTTATATTATTATAATTTTTAGATTTTAAGCTTTATTTTAATAAATAAACAATTTCAAAAAGTTTTATTATATCTTCTTTATATTTTACTATTAACTATATAATGTGTGTATATACAGTATATTTATTTTATTAATAAAGATTATAAATTATGTTTTACCTCAATATAAAGATAAAATTTTTATTTTAATATTATAATTTTATAAAATTTTAATTTAAGATTATAAAAATTATTAAAATTAAATAATAAAAATATTTTGATGTATAAAATAATTAAATAAATATAAATATAAATATAAGATTGTTAATTTATATATTAGAATAATTTAATTAATGATTTTAAAAATTGAATAAAATTTTAAAAAAAATTTATGTTAAACTGTATTTTTACAAATTTTTTTAAAAAAATTGAAATTGAGATTAAAATTATAAAAAAATTTTTTAAATTTTTATATAAATTAAAAAAATTTTAATTTATTATTGCAATTATGTATGGTTTTATTTTTAAGCATTATATGAAAAAAAAATAACAAATATTAATCTTATTTTTGATTAAATTATCAATATCTTAAAATTTAAATAATATGAAAATTTTTTTATTTTTATTTTTTTCTTGTTTTAAAAATTGTTATTAGCAATTTAACCTTAAATATATAAACCTATCTACTTAAACTAGTTTATACTATTAAGTCTTGTTATATTAAAATAGAATTAATTATTTTTAATTTAAAGATTATTAATATCATTAATCGTAAACTTTTTAAGTTTTAATAAAGTTATGTATTTAATGCATTTTAGTGATTAAAAAATATTTTGAAATTAATATAAATTTCCGATTTTTTAGATAAATAAATTTTAATTACGTAAATAAAAATTACATATATAAAAATATTTTTATAAATTTATAAATTTTTGATTTATTGATTTATGTATATATGAAATACTGTAAATTCAATGATTTATTATTATGATTATTTATTTTTAATAATTGTGTTTTAAATCGATGACATTTTTTAAATAATATCATTTTTAATTACAATTTATAAATTTTATTTTTTAATTTTAATTTTACAATTCAAATTAATAACTGAAAGCACTGTAGTTGATTTATTATGTACATGAGTTATCATACCATAATATAAATATTAGGTATCGGCAACTTCAACTTAAAATCGTTGCATTTTTGTGTGACGTGGAGGCTTGGCATAATCGCCTTAATACATGCTAATAATACATGCAGAACTTTTTGAATTCTGGGTTAAGTGCATTTTAAATAAGATTTGAGAATCTTCAAGAACTAATCAAATTTGATTAACTTTCATATTCGGAACATAATTAGATAAATTTAGGCGAAGGGTTTAGAGGCAAGCTTTTGTCGACTCGTGTACGTAAGTTTAAAAATGTAGGATAACTGTGTTTCCGTAACTTCGAAATTAATTCTAAGATAAAACAATAAACAAATATTTATTTATATTTCACACTTATCGTTATGGTAGAAATTAATGTGTGTCGTAAAAAAGCATCTTAAAATTAATGTGTGTCGTAAAAGAACATCTTAAAATTAATGTTGTGTGTTCCATGTTAATAGAATTAAGTTTGTAAGAGTATGTAATGTATAATCATTTCCATTTAGAACGACATTTGTGTATTACCCATGAGAATTTGCTATAAAAAACTTGTGTAATATTAAAAACGTACTTAATCAAATTTGCATTTGAAAGTAAAATTTGTGGTACTAGTGACAACTTAAGTGTTTATGTGGGACAGTAAATTTATATATCCTTCTTGCTTTCATTTACCGACGAATGCCCCCGCAATACTGAATATAGTCGATCTCTACAGAACGTGATGTGGTGTGCTGAAAGACAAATAGAAACGACGTATGTGCATATGTGTGCACGATTTAAACATCTTTGTTCGATTATTTTTTTTATTATAGCTTGTCTCTGCATTTGATCTTTCCATATTTGATATGGTAACACTTGGTTATCCTTGTATGAAGTTTTCAGATTTACCTGAAACGTTTGTCTTTTTGTATCATCACTGAGCTCTCTTCTTTTAATATAAATATAGCTTATAATCATTTTATTGTTCTTAACTTTAAAAAAGTTTACATTTTTTTTGTCGTTTACATTTTTCCACCAAAAATAGAAAATACGGTTCATCGAACTCATCTTCCTCAAAGATTTTTCTAACCTCTGCATTAAAGAAAAATGAATAGTCTTCGAAAGCTGAGAAACACCATAAGGCGTCCAAAAGCTCACAGAAATATTCAACTCTATATTTACACTCCTCTTCCTGGCAACAAGCTGGGTTACATAATCGAGTATCGCCAACGTCATTTTAGTCAAGTTTTCTACTACAAATATAAGGAGAACGCGGATGGCACCTTGACAAAGTACGGTTATCTGATTAATGATAGTGGGATTAACAACAATAATAACGATAGTGATGAAAATGAAGGTGGTGGCACTGGCGAACATAAAAAAAGTGGTAAAAGATTATGGGCGAACAAAGATAAAGATTGTGTGTTCTATCAAACGGTGGCCGATAAAACACAAATTGACTTGGAACGTCGATGGTTAAACGAGATAAGAGCCCGAGGAAGGTGGGAAGTACCGGTAACAACTGATGAAGAATTAAGCAATGAATACAAAGAATGGGAAGATGTGATGCAACATAACAACAAGGTTTTCATTTCGGATAATATACAACGTAGGCGGGTGGCCGAAGTATTATCCAATGTGGAGAACTGTTGTGGAATGGAACTCGATTTATTCAATAAAGAACAATCAAAAACAACCGTAGCAACCAACGTTGAGGGAAGACTTAGGCCGAATCAACTTCCACCATTGACTACCGTCCCAACCAATCAATTTATGCCTCGACCATCTTACGAATCTCAAAAAAGCGGTGATGATACCTTGTCAGCCAGCTCCATTCCTCAGCATATAAAAAACTATATTACCTATACTCCTCCAATTTCACCTAAAACTCCACCTAGCACTCCAATAGATGCATCAGGCGCTGTTAGCAATAACAGTTTGTTGAACATTAATGTCAGACAACGACAACATCATAAACAAAAAAGCGTAAGCTCCGTTAATAATTATGATGTCGGTGAAAATAACGATAAAACAATCCAAAATGAGAAACCTAGAAAATTGGTACATTTAACGCATCCGAAATTTAGCAAGATACCACCACAAGTGCGTATCTTTGATCCAGAGGATTTATTATTGTTCAGAAATTGTCGATGCGATTATTGTGTGGTTGGCGACTATAACGAGTAAACGCTGACAAATGATTTGTTTGGAACTTGTATCAACAGGCAACGTCAGAAACTTTAGTAAAATTAGAAATATCATTAAACTTAAATATTGTAGTTTTAGAGCTTAAGTAAAATTAGAAATAACCTTAGACTTAAGCAGCAATAGTTGCTCAAATAATATTAGATTATTAATGTTAAACATTGTAAATTTCATATCATAGGTCAAATAGCTTTTATTTGTTTCATTTGTTCACGCAATAAATAAAAGGCTGTATATATATTGCATTACTTGACTTTATCTACACGCGAAAACCAAACCGATACGACAGAAATGACGATACGCTGTGTAGTAAATTCCGCAATAATAAAGCGTTCGCTTAATTACATTTTAATTCGTGAATAATTAAATAAGAGGCATCTCGCTAATACCAATACAATTATGTTAAAAGTCCAATCCAATCCGATCCGTCCAGTTTAAGGATTACCATTTAAATTGTTCCTAAAATTAGATATCAATATATAATATATAAAAAAGATAACGAAATAAAAAATTTTGATTTTATCTATGTATACAGTATAATCATTAAGCTAATAATACTGTGTTTTGCAATAGAAAAATACATTCACAATGAACACTAGTAGATTGGATGCCAAATAATCAAAGCTATTGCAAAAGAATAGGGTATTTATCACAATTTTATTTTCACCATAACAATATATGCATTGAATCTTCTAATGGCATAAAAAAACATTTTTTTTATTTTACTGGTAAGTATAGAAGTAGCACTTTGTGTTGAGTATACGAGTTTTCATATAAAATCCAATGACATTTTGTTGGTTGATAGCACATATACTGTATACATTCATTATTGGCAAATGTGCCAAGTTTGTTATACAAATAAAGAATTGATAAAAATGTAAATAAAATATATGATTTCAATATTCTTCAAGCTTTTTTTAATCACCACTGCTTTAAATATAAGTCTAATAAATACTATTTTAATAATATTTTGTATTAAGTTCAGACATTAAAAATGATTTTTTATTTGTTAATGTTTTTTTAAAACTCTTTTATACAGTATATGAAAATAAATTTTAAAACCAAAATATCAATTATTGTTTGATTTTTTAATTTTAATTTTATTGATTTGCTTACATTTATATTTAAATCAAAATTTAAAATACATGTTAAATAAAAATTTTGAAAAATACAATAAATTAATAAAACATCAAATTATTTATTTTATAATATTTTATATATAATGAAATATTATTTTGCTATGGTTTTTTATATTATTTGTTATTAATTTAATAATATATAATATTTATTTTTCATTTTTTAAAAAAATAGTTAAAATTGTTTTACTATATCATTTTCTATTTAAGTTTTATACAAAGTTATTAAATTTGAAAATATTATAAACTTAATATATTGGGTTGGTTTTTGCTTATAAATACTAATTTAATTTATGGTTATTTTATTTTAATTAAACAAATAATTTTATTCAAGTATATTTTGTAAGATATAATTGGTTAGAATTAAAGTGTTGATTAGTTATCAGGAGTTTTTTTAATAAAAATTTTTTGTGATACAATATAATATGTTGAATGATATTAAAAGTTATATTATGTTGTTGGGAGTGATAACGGCAAGTCTGTCGCTACGTTGCGATCGCCGATCGTGTAACATCGAAAGAGGTGTGGAGATGTGGCACGAGGTAAGTGAAAGTGTTAGATATTAGTCTGAGTTTATGATAAAAGAACGATATTTTATTGTTGCTTTTTCTCTAGTACATTCCTCTCTTTATATACATGTTAAGAAATCCCAAAAATCCCAAAAATCCCTCAAGCCCCAATTAAACCCCAATTGGGCGAGGATGACATATATTGAATCTATCTAATTTTTTTGATCCCTCTTACAATGTATATATTTCTGATTCCTTAAGCCAACAATATATACAGATTTGATATAAAGTTTTAAGTTTTATATTAAAAAAAAATCCTCTAGCAAAAGAAAAGAAATATTTAAAAGTATTTGTATTTAATAAAAAATGTTTAATAAAAAGTGAAAATAAAAAAAGCCCCCAAAAAAATTTATTAAAAAACAATTGTTACAAAGTCTTTTCTTATATAATTCAAGAAAAAAGCAAGAATTTAAAACTTGTTTCTTTTTGATCAAAGGTTTTATCTTGATGTGCCAATATATTTTTTTGGTTTCCTTAAGATTTTTATAGTAAAAACTAGAAAAATATAGAGAACTTGTAAGTATTGAAAAGTGAAAAAAATATTATATGTGAAAGAAGTTTTTTTTTTGATTAAATTAATATAAAAAATAGATAGCTTAATATTAAGCTTAAAAAATTTTTTAAAGTTTTATTAATTTATAATTAATTAATTTATATATTAAAATAATTAAAATAATTTTTTTTAAAAAAACTTTCTTCTGATTATATTTATTTTGTTAAAAAATTTCTTTTCATAATAATTTTAAGTAAAAAAAAATAATTTATATTTTTTATTACAAGTGAGCCTTAGCTTAATAACTCAAGAATCTTTAATACAACAGATGCAATAAGATAAGATCTTTGATTAAGATCTATTTAATTTAGGAATCTTGTTTATTTTTTAGTTATATAAAAAAAATATTGTCAGTTTTTATTTCTTTTGTTTTTTTGTATGTCTTTTTATTTTTATATATTATAAAAACTATTTATATCAATTCTATTATACTTGCTAAACAAACCATTTTTCAAAAAATATATTTAAACAAAGTTGTAAAATTTAATATTTGTTTTAATATAATCTTTATTCAAAATTTTATTTTGGCAATACTTATTGTACTATTAAAAAAATTAACAATTTTTTTTAATCACAAAAATCAAAATTAGTTTACTTTCTCTAATCAATATCTAATAATTGTTTAATTCAATTTTTTTATATTTTTCTAACAAAATAAATAAAACCAATTTAAACTGATTTGTCAATTCAATAATAATAACAATTATAATAACAAAGTCAATTATTATGATAAAGACAATTATAATAACAAATAATATTATACAGTATATAATTTATTATCTATAGTAATCAAAGAGTCAAAAAAATAAAATAACAAGTCTATTTAATAGTTCTTTTGAAGAAATAATTAGTTTTTCACTTATAGATTTTATAGTTTATTTAATTTAGTTTTAGTTTTAGTAATGTTTATTTTTTCTTTTCAATTACTTTGCATTTAAAAAATTAAAAGATTTTACAAAACATTTTAAATTGATAGGCATAGCTGTTACTACTTTATCTAATATATTAATATTGTTTTTAAAATTTTTTCAGTATTGATTAAAATACTGAAAGAAATATTGTTTTTTTAATGATGTATATTTTGTTATATACAAATAAAATAAAGAAATAATGTTTATATATTGGAAAAATCTTTCAAAAAAATAATTGAAATAATTTATTATTGTTTTTTTATAATAATAGAAAGTTAAAAATTTTAATTTACTATTATTTTTATTTTTTATATTTTTAAATATATTTTTTATCTTAATTAAGGATTAAATTAATAATAATTTTTTTTTTAATTTTAAGCAGTTTTTTTTATTTTAAACTATATATAATAAAATTTTAATACCAAATAATAAATACAATTAATTGACCTGTGAGTCTATAGCACAATGGTTAGTGCTTTACAGGTCAAATCACAAGATACCAGTTCAACCCCATATAAAGACAGTTGAATAGTATTAATATAATATTTGACGCTGTAACTTGAAATGTACTGTTTTTTATAGAAAGTCTGTTCATATACTAATCTAGCGGATGTTGAGATTGTGACCTTCATAAAAGGTGTAGTGGTGCAATGATTGTCTGGTCGGTGTTATGATAATGGTTAGCAAAATAGTCATACCAAACATTTGAATATATAGACTGGACTATACTCCATTCTAAACAATTCCAATCGATATATGTTTCATTCCTCTTTCATAATTGATTCTAGTCTAATTAGGTGAAGAAGACTCAAGGTATTTCGAGCTGGTTCTATTAACACATTCTGTCTGAACACAATCTGGACCAATAGATTAGGTGGTTTAAAACTAGTGGTAAGATTTTCACTCCCTAGATAGGTCTCCTCTCGAAAAACGTGGGTCCACTTTCAAAATGCATACTAGATCACCAGGTTTAATAGGTGGGGATAGTGGATTAACTTAAATGAACTATTGTAGTACTGTAATTGGATATACTGTAAATCACTCAATAAAAAAATCATATGTTGCATGCACCTTTCATCTCAAAAATAAATAAATAAATAAATACAATTAATTTATATAATGTTAAACTATTTATAAAAAATATTTTTTTTTTGCAAAAAGATATTAAATATAAAATATTTATTAAACTTTAATTTATCACTATTATATTAACAATCTTTAATATATAGAATTAGCAAATTAATTATAATTTATTATATCTGTTTAATTAATACATATTAATATCAAGTAGGTATCTGTATGCTAAAGATATTAAATAGTTAATACTTATTCAAAATAATATATTATAGCTAAAGTAAAAAAGTTTTTTGTCAATAAAACAGTCAGAAGTTTTTAAGATATTAAGTATTTTTTAAAGTATTTAAAGTTTGTTAGTTAATATTGATAGCACTAGTGTTTAGAATTTTTTTTATTTGATCCCAGATAAGATTAATATAATAACTATTATTAGATATTGTTTTTATATTTATATAATGTTTTAAAAAAAAATTTCAAAAAAAAATTTTTTTTCAAAAATGTTAAAAATATTATAAATTTTCTTATTTAAAAGACAAATTAAAATATTTAAATATTTATAAAAAAACTCTTTCTACTGATCCTCTTACCAATACAAAAAACAGAAATTCCAAAAAAATTTTATATTTCTTTGTAATAAAGTCTATATACTTTCTTTAACAATATTAATATCTAGAGACTTTAGTCTCTCTCCTCTTGTTTCTTTCTCTTTTTGATATAAACTTTCTATATTTTAGCA